GTGTGTGTGTGGTGTGGTAGCTACTGCTGCAGGATCCAAGCACACACTGGTGCTTGCCCAGGTAAAAGCAATGTCTGCTGTAGTGTTTGGGAATGCTTAAAATCCATCAGTTAGTTTGTAGAATGCAGCCCGATGCAGCAACCCTATCCTGTGGCTTGCAGCATGACAGGTGATCCTTGGAAGTGCTTTTCATAGTAGAATTTTTCAGATGTTCAGTATTCTTATCCAGATGTGGTTGACAGGCAGAGTATAACGTCTTAGTTGTCATCCCTCCAAACTGAAGTAGAGGAAGACAGCTTGACATGTGTATCAGTCCATATATAACACCTACAAGGGCATCTGAAGGTTGGAATGTGGAGTTAAAATAAGTTGTATGGAAAATGTTTTAAGATGTAGTTAATGTGCTGTTTGGGATATCATATTCATGTGCTGGCAGAGGGAATAAAACTGAAGACGGAATGAAATCCCGTCCCCAGGCACTGGAGTCCCCTCCATCTATCTTTGTTTTTCTCTGTTTTCTGTGGGAACTACCCACCCATATTTTGTTCTTCTGTTTCTCTTCTGACAACTTATGCTTCTTTTTGGAAGCAAAACCCAACCGGCTCAGAAACTTGCCCCTAGAAACTGGAACTTTGCATTCCATGGCCTAATTCCAAAACTGCTGGGATTGTGAGAAGATGTCAAGCACATGGCAAAGATGGCAGTGCACTGAGAGGCAGTTGTGACCTGTTCTTATCACTGAGTTGCAGGAGTGAGGAATTGCCAAATGCGTCTCACATCAAAACTGCTGAGCATGGGCTAGCGAAGGAAGAGGGTGAGTGAAGTCCACGCCAGTGACACAGTAGTTCATAATTTTGCATAGCGTGCTTGATCAGGCTGCAGAATTGTGAGATATTTTGGTCATTCCCCATCACTAAGCAATCTGAACTTCTCTGGGTTATTTGCCCCCACCCAGGGGCTTTAGGTACATTTCCCTGCTGAGATGCACAAAGGCACTTGAGGCTTCGTGACTTGTTCTTTCTGTGCTCGTGGGTGTCAAACACGTCCCAGAAGGGACACTGGCTTCAGTGTCTGACCCTGGAGGTCACCGAGCTGGACTTGCAAATAAATTCCAGCACCCACCTTGACAGAGATGGCATCTGTTGAAAGCTGCCAACTGCGCACTCAAATGCTGTTCATTCCTCCTCGAACTCTGTTCCATTCCTCTCTCTTTCAGTCAGATTCAGAGGAAGATGAGCCAGCAAAAAAGCAGCCTGCCTTCCAGGTAAGGACGTACCTGTGTTTCATCCCTGTTAAGAGCTGAAGGTTTCCCCACTGTGAAGGAGGCCGGTTGGCCCTTTGGCCATCCATGTCTGAGCTGAAAGTCTGCTCATGGGGCCAAAATCCCGATCTGCTGGTTCTGGTGCTTCAGTTGACTGCACTGGGTTCTTCATACAATGCCACTGGCCCAATTTAATGTCTCCGTTCATCAGCTCAACCAGATTTGAAAAGAGGGGAAGCGGCCTTGTAGTTCTTTCCTCCTTGGCAAAGAACATTGGGCTTGACAAGCGGGTACTTTCTATTCCTTCGTAATGCTAGTGTGTGCTGGCCAAGGCTGACAAGTCAGTCCAAAACTTCTGGGAGGCAGCAGGTAGGTTGGGGAAGGCTGTCCGAGGCTTTCTCCTCTGGCCTCCTCTTTGTCCCGGCACGCTGGGCTTTTTCTTTCAGTTGGGCATGGTTTGAGAGACAGCCAAGTGTTTGGAGCAGCCAAGTTTCAGGGCTCTCTGCTGTGGTGCTGGCTCTAAGGTCACCAGCTTAGCTTTAATGCTCTGCGTAACAACTGAGCATCTTGTTTTAAGCAGCCACAGTTCTGGCAACTGCAGTGAGCTTGCGACTTTGCCATAATGCTTGGTGTGAAGAGTCAAGGAGAATGCCAGAGAAAATACTTTGGCTTTTGGAGTATGCCGACCAGGAACTGTTGTGGCAAATTTCTGGCCTTTATGTTAGAGGCAAGATGTGCAGGAATTGTCACGTGGGTGGATGTGTTGCAGGCTGACTAAAGCTGTCTGCAGATCGGAGGGAAGGGGCTAGTTGAAGAAAGACCTATCTTAGCTTACCGTGTCACTTTCTGTACTCCTTGCAGGGCCACAGTGAGGGCTCCGGCCTGTCTGCTCTGCTCCCGCAGCCTAAGAATGTGACAGTGAAAGAGACAAACCGGCTGTTGCTGCCATACGCCTTTTCCAGGAAAGCAGCTGAGAACTCCACAGAGCCCAAACCTGCCAAAGGCTCGCTAGTGGCGGCAGCGGCGGCCAGCAAGCCAAAGCCCCCCCTCAAGGCCACGTCTGCTGTGACGACGACCCCTTCCCCGTCAGCCATCAAGGCGGCTGCCAAGAGTGCCGCCCTGCAGGTGACCAAGCAGATCACTCAGGAGGAGAATGAAAGCGACGAGGAAGTGACCCCTGAGAACTACTTCTCCTTGGCCAGCCGAAGCGAGCCGCCCCCCAGGAGTCCCGAGAGCTACGTGTTCTCCGGCACAGTGGTGCCAGATGACCTGCCCCCTGGGACAGAGCCAGGGCCTGAGCCCGAAGGCCAGGATGCCACGACTGCTAACGCCCCACTGGAGTTCAAGACAGCACCTGGTTCGAGCTCTGCTCCCCATGGCTGGGCCCCAAAGCCTGGTGAAGACTATAGCAGCCAGCCGTATCTGCCATATCCTGGCTACAGCAATGCGGGCGGCACTGGCGTGTATTATCAGGTGAGAGGAGAGCCCTTGGTTGCCCTGGCAGGAGCTTTGCTTGGAGGCGATGTCCCTCCTGCTGCTGGTGGCCTCGATTTCTGGAAGCCCCGGAAGAGTGTGAAGCAGGGAGAGCGTGTGGCGAGGGCTGTAGGAGGGAGGGTCTGTTGGGGAGGATATTGGCTGGGAGGGAGCCTGTGGAAGGGGTGTGCCGGAGGAGGTAAATTGGTGGGTGGCAGGCGGGGAAGATAGCCTGGGGGTGGATTTTGCAGCTGCTGAGGGCACGCCTTTGCTTTTGTGTCTCTGCAGCAGGATTACTACAGTGGTGGCTACTACCAGGAAAGCGACCCGCTGCTGGGGCCGCCCCAGGAGTTGCGCAGTGACGATCCCGCCACCGCCGCCTCCTTCATGGACGATGAAGCGGTGAGCAGCTGCGCTGGGGTGATGCGTGCCAGAGGCCACACTCTTCTCAGAGCTCAGGGCTGGCTGTGGCGGTTGTGGGCCTTGCCGGCATTTGGGGCAGGTGCCCCACACGTGGCGGGGTCTGTGGGGCTTCAGCGGTGGAACAGATCACAGAATGTCTTTTACGCTTGCTGGCGGATGAATTCAGGCAGCGCCGTGCAAGGTGTGTGGTAGGCCTTTAGCCTTTCAGCTTGTAATAACCTGAAGAGTCCAGACACAATCTTACACACAGCACCTGTGGGACGGATGGGACCCTCAGCCCAGGAGCCATCACTCTGGTTGCAATACATAACTCGCTCTCCCCTCCGCCACACCCCCAGCTCCAAGCCGCCTTTTTGTGGAAATAGTACTGAGCGTTTTTGAAATAGAAGGGTGTAGGGTCTGTTTGGTTTCCCCAGCAATTCTCTTTGCTTTGCTTCTAGCAGGCTGAGTGTGCACAGATGGTTGTGCTGGCCCTGTTTAAAGAGTGGCTTCCAGGAGTGTTTGTTTGGACGCAGCTTCCATGGGCCTGGGATTAATGGCATTATAGCCAGCTGTGCCCCCGCCCCCCCCCCCCCGGCATTCCCTGCCTTCTGCTGAGCCTGGAACGGGCTTGCGGAGCCGCCTGCCTCAGTGCTTCTTGCTCTGACGTCCCCTGCAGCCATTCTCCGCGCTGCTCGTTTTCCACGGTGGGCTCCCTCCCTCATCCCTCCGCAGCTGCAGGAGCAGGAAACAGACTGGTGCGGAAGAGCGTGTGTGTGCACGGCACGGATGTTTAACGCTGGGTTCCCTTGCTCGTTTTTAATGCCCTCCTCCAGGGTCCGGCTGAGCCTCTTTGTTTTGCTCTGAGATGATGGGTTTCCCTTAGGCGGGTGTGGTGTTGCCCATGGGCTCCCGAGGAGCTGCTCTGAGGGCCACCCATTCAGCCACTGCAACCCTTCGTCTCCTGCAATCCCTCGCTTAGTTCAAACGCCTCCAAGGCAAGCGGAACCGTGGCCGAGAGGAAATCAACTTTGTGGAGATCAAGGGGGATGACCAGCTGAGTGGCGCACAGCAGTGGCTGACCAAGTCCTTGACAGAGGAGCAAAATATGAAATCCTTCAGCAAGGTCAGTGGCTGTGGGGCAAGGAGTTCCCATGATCCCTCTGGGTGCTGGGCAGCTCTCATGCTCGCGGCTGGGGGCCCTCCTGGTGCTCACAAGGCAAGTGGCAAATTGTCCTGGGATGGGCACTTTGCATCCTCAGAGGAAAGGGTCCCCTTTCCTGCCTGCCCAGAGACACCTGACAGGGCAACTGCTTCTGTTTTTCTGTTCACCTGCAGAAAAAGGGGGAACAGCCCACAGGGCAGCAGCGGAGGAAGCACCAGATCACATACCTGATTCACCAGGTGAGGACGCTTCAGGTTGGCCACAGCTCTGCAGCTCCCCTGCATCTCGCCTGGTCCAGCGTTGCTCCAGTTCTTGTCTCCCCAGTCACAGTGGCACACAGAGCGGGGCTTCTCTGCGTACCCCTCTTTCGTGGCTGGCCATCCTCTCCCATTCCTCAGCGACCTCCTTCCTGGCCAACTTTCCGTGTTGAAGCTGCTGGCCTTGTAGTCGCCGGGGCCATGGCGTGAGCTGCCCCAGGGTCCTGCCGGCGCTCAGTGTTGCTGTGCCCTTCTGGCCAAACTCCAGCTGAGAAGCTCCCACTGTAGCAGGGCCGCTGGGCCGCAGGGGGCCTTTCAAGCAGTGTGGGTGGGGGAGCAAATGTGGAGTTTCCACAGCTGACCCAAGCCCCTGGGAGCCTTGGGAGGGCCTGCAGAATAGCTGCCCAAGCTGAGGTTCAGGTGGGAGTGCGCACAGAGCAGTTGCTAGCTTTGTCATCAGCAGCTGGGGCTAGCAAGCTGGTGAGCCCTGGTCCCGACTGGGGAGCAGGGGGGGATCTTGCCACTTGGTGCTCAGCCCTGCCCTGCAGTGGGTGCTGCTTGTTCCAGTTCTGAGGCCTGCATGGCTGAAGAAGTTCCTGTGGAGAGGGCGCTGCTCTCGTCCCTCTAGTGCCTGCCAGGCAGCCTTGATGTGGGCACGCTGCTTTCCCACAACAAGGCACGGGCTGAGGCAGTTCTGTGGATCGGGTGGGTCACGGTATAAGGAAGGACTGCCTCTAACCTGCCACTCCATCCTCTTTCCTGGGACAGGCAAAAGAACGAGAGCTGGAGCTGAAGAACACCTGGGCTGAAAACAAGCTCAGCAGGCGTCAGACGCAGGCCAAGTATGGATTTTAGGACCTCTCTTCCTCCTCCTGCCCTTGTAGCTGCCCGGCTGGCCGGCTGGCCGGCTTAGGAATTTGCAGTTTGCTCAGCCTCAGGCCACACTGAACAAGAAGAGGAGGCAGTGGCACTGGTGCTCAGCTCGGTGCTGTGCACCTCTGTAGCTATTGCTGCTAGTTGGGTGAGGGATACCTGGTAGGGCACATTCTGGAGGAGGCCAAGAGACTCATCCGGCTTGAGTCCTTGAACATCCACCCTGAGGGCCCACAAGCCAGCCTGGCGCGCTCTCTGCGTCCGCAGAACCCAGACGAAGCCTCACTTGCCCATCCTCCCTGGACTGTCCGTTTCGGCAGGATGGGATCACCGCATTGTAGTCCAAGCAGCCCCAGCTTTGCTAGTCCTTGCAGTTTGCCCTTCGGTGGCGGGAGGCCAGCGTTGTCACGAGCTGCTTCCCACCACCAGTTCTTTTCGGGTATGTGTGTCTTTGTGTCTAGTCCGTCGCCTCTCTCCTTCCCTTGTTGAGAAAGTTCTTGTTTTTGTGGATTGGTGACAGCTGCAGCTCCACTCGCATTGAAAAGTAGGGTGGCGACCATGCGCTCCGTTGCTTAACAACAGTGTTCAGTATTTCAGTACAAAATGCTTCTGGAATTTAACTTCGGTGTCCCCTCCTCATCCCCAAAACGGCAGGGATGCAGCATGGTTAGCCAGGCGTGGGTCACGTGCTGTTGGAATCCGTGCACTTCCAGGAGAACCAGCAGCCTGCGGCAGACAGTCCGGTCCCCGTCCACTGTCCCCTTTGCCCCTCGGCCCCCAAGCCGATGCTGAAGGGGCTCTGCCTGTTAATTTGCCTTTCCTGGCTCAGATTGGAATGCGCCCTCCAGCCTTGCTGTCCTTTGCTCTGCCCACTCCCCCCATCCCCACTTTCCTACAAGAGGCCTCCCCAAGGGAAGCACAGGCTCGGACTAAGGGGGTCGCTTGCCCCCCTGCTGCGGGATGTGCAGGCCGACCTGGTCTTCCGTTTTCACAGTCTGCACCGTCCGTTGTTCCCTCCCCGTGGTTCAAGCTGCAGCCCTCCTCTCTGGAGGAAGCCAGCCTTGCTGCATTGTTTCTGGAGGAATGAGATCAGTGTTTAGGACGTTTTTTTTTAATCTAGTTTATTTCCCTGGAAGGTTTAATACTTAGGAAAGGCTCTCTTTTCTTATTTTTGGAATATTCCAAAATAAAGCTCTCATTCAGTAATTTATTTGCATTTTACGAAATTGTCTGGAAAGAGATTTTATAAAGGAATAAAACTTTTAAAAGAACTTGTAACCACCCATCTCCTTCCCCTCTCTCAGAGCATTTTAGTGATGGGGGTGTAGGGCAGAAATGGCTGAGGGCTCCCCGATTTCCCCCCAACTCTGGATCCTCCTCAGCCTTCTGGCTACCAGGCCCATCGGAAGGCGTCCTTTCGGCTTTGAAGAGCAGAGGAATTCGGAGGGGGGGTGCTGCCTTCAGGGCCCTGCGATCAGCATCAAGCCTTTCCTTACTGCCCGAAAGAGAAAGGAGAACGAGGTGGCAGGAAGTGGGTGTGTTGTGGAACCATAATGGGCTGAAACTTGGATGCACCGCACAGGGGCCATTGGCTCACGTCTGGGGTGGGGAGGGCAGCGCAGGAAAGTACTGGCTGCATGGAGTCCGTACGTTAGAGGTAGACAGCCAGGTACCCACAGATGCTTGGGGTATCCATCTTGGGCCATGTTGGCTGGTGCTGCTGGGAGCTGGAGTCCACATCATCTGGAGGATACTGGGTTTTGTGTGCAGAAGCCGCATAGCTCAAAAGGAAGAGGCCTCGCTGGGGCCAAACAGTGTCTGTTCCTGCTGGCCTCCAGGCTCCTGATGCCTGTGTGGGGCCTGCAGCCCCCGAGTGGCAGCTGGGACCTAGCGAGAGCCCCGGGGGCTGCCCCTCTGGGCTGTGTGTGGCCTGGGACTTTGCTCCTGGGAACAGTGGCTTGTTCATTTTACTCCAGCCGGCGGTCTTCTTTCCACTTGGTAAACCAGCAGGTCCTGGAACTGGTCAGCCGGTGGCCGCAGGAGGAATCGGGTGGGGCGGGGAAGGGGCAGTGCACTGAGCTGCTTCGTGAGTTCAGCTGCACCTCTGTCTGCCCCGTGGGCCTGTCTCCTTCGCAGAGGCCCAGAGAAGGATGTCCCCCCCCCCACTGCTGCTGCAGGGAGGGAGTTGCTGTGGGGGGGGCGCCTGTTATCACCAGCCTCCCTCTTGCCTGCCTCCGGATGTCCTGGGGAGCTTCTGCCCACCCTGATAAGCAGCCTGCACCAGACGTGTGGCATGCCCAAAATAGCTCTTCCAGCACTGCTGTGCCCTCCTCCAGTCATTCCAGCCTGGTGGAGGGGAGAGCCCGGCTGCCCCATGTAGGGCAGGGGCAGGAAGGCATTGTGGCCTAGTGGTCTGACCGCTGGGGCGGCGCAGAAGGGAAGGGGCCAGGCTCTCCTGTTTCCTCTGCCCTATCTTTCTTGCGGGGGGCGGGGGGACGGCTTTAATGTCTCCCTCCAGCCTCGTCTGCTTGCGGGGGCTTCTGCCAGTGGAGGGCCTGGGCGGCCGCCGCTACAAGGTGGGATGGGGCAGAAGAGCGGGGTCAGCATCGGCCCAAGAAAAGCGCAGCGGCCCGGCCAGGATCGGGGGGGCGCCGCAGTCTCCTGGAGCAGATGCTGCCGCGCAAGGTCTCAGGCTTGTGGCCCCGATCTGAGCCTCCAGGTACGGCCACCCTCACGCCAGCCGTCCCGGGGCGCGCCGGAGACGCGGCGGAGGCGCGAGAGTGGCCCGGGCGCGGCTCTGTGCGGACACCGGGGCGCGGGCCTCCCCGGTAGCAGTGGCTCCCCGGGCCGGCCTGGCCCCGCAGCGCCTTCGCCCCGGGCGGCCCCGCAAAGCGCGCGGGGG